TTTTTTTTATAAAGTTGTTTTTGTTCCTTTTTGGAAAGCACATGAGGTTCTTGATGCATCAGATGAGCTGCAGTATGTTTGATTGAAAAGATTAGCTGCAGACTGTTAAAGTTTTGGGATGTGCTGCGCCTCCTGTAGGTGCGGGAGATGGAGATGGAGCTGGAAGATGAGAGGAAGCAGCGCTCTGCAGCTGTAGCCGCCCGTAAGAAGCTGGAGCTGGACCTGAAGGAGCTGGAGGTGGGCATCGACATGTCCAACAAGAACCGTGACGAGGCTCTGAAACAGCTGAAGAAACTCCAGGTGAGCGCTGCAGACGTCCACATCAGCCCATCCACGCATTCAAACACCACATACAGAAGTCCCTCGCTACTTCGCTGTTCATTTTATCGCAGACTCGCTCCATCACAGTTTTTCAGAATAAGCTTTATTGTCCTTGTACTGGGATGCAGTGAAATTATGTTCGTACAGTCGTCCGAAAGCTGGGCGGAGTGCACGTTGCTGCTGCTATAAAATATCATGGCCCCTTATTCTTTATCAGAATACTTTTCGATAGAAAAAGGGTTGCGATAGACGAAGCTTTTTCCTTAGTTACCCATGTCCCAGGAGAAATTTGATAGTCTGCTCATATCCGAGGCCAAACTGGGGAGTCGGATTCAGATAAGCCACAATTGTTGTTTTTCTTCAGGCAGACTTTTAAAAATATTTTTCTTGTCAGCCTCGAGTCCTGCTGGAACTTTCCGGTCCAAAATGTCCAGATTTATGGGTATTCTTGTCCACTGATCTGTGCTATGAGCCTTCCTCAAGGTTGATCCCAACATGCTGACGAGTCCTAGAAGCCGCAGGTGGCCTGTGATTCTCACAAATCGCCTCCATCTTAAGGTTTAGCTTGTAAATCGGCTGATTTTGAGTACTCATGGCGTGAACAAAACCTTCACACTGCCTCAGAAGCTTTGTCATGGCCGAAACTGCTGCCGATGTCTTCAAAAGTCAGTAAAACAGAGACCCGCCAATTCCAAAGAGCAGAAACCCTGTATCATAAATCCAAACTATATAATGTCTTCAACGTCCTCCTGAGACAGAACTGAGAGACCCATTTTGTAACACCATTTTGTTGAAAAGATTTTGTTGATTACGTTGAAAGTCCAGCTCACCAGATCCATAATGGTGTTTTTCGTTCGGGAGATGTGTACCAGGAACTTCAAACACTCGGAGAGCAAAGCAGGCGGGAGGGAGAGGAGAAGGCGTCCGCCTTGAGCGAGAGCCTGAGAGTAAAGATAAGAGTGGACATGACACACAATTGGCTGATTGATGGATGAGCTGCACGATCAGCATGGAAATTTTATTTAAAATAAATTATTTTAAATTATTTAACACCTGCTGCACCTTTGTACAGCCCATACTGCTGCAGCTGATCAGCATGCAGAGCAGAGAAGTGGGTGTGGCCAAGAGCGTTTGCAGCTAGCAAAGAGCAGAGGAGGCAGGGACTGAACTCATGACGTTCTGTGCTCTTTTAGAGCATTTAGAGTTTAGAAACATTGTTTAGAATATTGCATGAGTGTGGAAAGGGTTTAAAACGCTGTACTGGTAGTTTGAGTTCTACTGGTTTTTGTTTTCAGGCCCAGATGAAGGATCTTGTCAGAGAGCTGGAGGACACTCGCATGTCCAGAGAGGAGATCTTGACCCAGAGCAAGGAGTCTGAGAAGAAGATGAAGGCCATGGAGGCTGACATGCTCCAGATGCAGGAGGTCAGTGTTAATGCCCTCTGTTTTTGATTAATGCGGTTTGCCTTCCCCTATTCATCACTTGTATCTTTATTTTTCTGTTAATGTTCAGGAGCTGGCAGCTGCAGAGAGAGTAAAGAGACAAGCTCAGCAGGAGAGAGATGAGCTGCAAGATGAAATAAACAACCAGTCTGGCAAGAAGTGAGACCCTCCATCATCACTCAAACCTCCAGACTCTGTCTGCATCATGTATTTGAGTCAGCACTAGTCCCAGGGTCGTTCCATCTTCTCTTTTTGTCTACCTCAGTTCTCAGGTCACAGAGGAGAGGAGGCGACTGGAGGCTCGTATTGCTCAGCTGGAGGAGGAGCTGGAGGAGGAGCAGTGCAACACCGAACTGATCAATGACCGGCTGAAGAAGGCCATGCTGCAGGTGTGGAGGCTTATGAAATGTTTTTATGGAAGAAGAGCACAAAACAGCATTTACTGTGTTCAGAATGAACGTGATTCTTACGTGATTGTCTTTTCTTTCTCCCAAGACTGACCAGATGAACGTGGAGCTGACTGCAGAACGCAGCACCGCTCAGCGCCTCGAGGGAGCTCGCTCCCAGCTGGAACGTCAGAACAAAGACCTGAAACTGAAACTGCAGGAGCTCGAGGGAACCGTCAAGTCCAAATACAAGGCCAACATGGCCGCCCTGGAGGCTAAGATCGCTCAGCTGGAGGAACAGCTGGACTTAGAAACCAGGTAAAATCTTCCACGTGTCTGTCCAGATTAAGCAATAATCTCTTAAAGTTGTGACTAAAAGCACAAACGCCAACATTTTTCTTCCTGATCTCTTCCCGTGTTGGTTATGGAAAAATGTCTTCTCTGTTTGGTGGGATAGTTCTCGTGCACCTGAGACTGAGAGAATGAAACAGATTTTATCTGCTGTGCTTTGATTCAGGGAGAGGCAGGCTGCCACCAAGCTGGTGAGACGCTCTGAGAAGAAGCTGAAGGAAGTCATCCTGCAGGTGGATGACGAGAGGCGCAACTCGGAGCAGTTCAAGGACCAGGTCAGTAGTACTCTCCTTCCTGTTGTGGGCACCATCTGTGTCACGTTCACGGAGAACATCTTCTTCAAATAAGCTCTTCCTGATCCTGAAGACCGGCTGTCATCACCTTGTCCAGGAGAAGGCATCCGTGTATTTGAGCGTCTGACTCGTGCTGGGTTTGTTTTGTGGTGTTTAGGCCGACAAGCTGAACTCTCGCATGAAGCAGCTGAAGCGTCAGCTGGAGGAAGCCGAAGAGGAGGCCCAGCGAGCCAACGCCAACAGAAGGAAACTTCAGAGGGAGCTGGAGGACGCCACAGAGTCTGCAGATGCCATGAACCGTGAAGTTGTGTCCCTCAAGAGCAAGCTCAGGTAGTTGAGTGTGTCTGAGGCTTCTCATCACTTGGGATGGATGTGGAGTCCCTGGCTCTAAACCAGGGGTGTCCAAACATTTTTATAAGTGGCCCAGAACTGTCTAGATGAAAGGTGTCGCGGACCAGAAAAAAAACTGAATTTAAGAAGGGGGGGGGAATTTAAGTG